CACATGCATACACTTCACCCTAAAAGGTGAATTTATGGCTTTCTCGAATGATCTATCAATATGCATGCGGTGTGATGGTACATGGATGAGGTTTTGGCCCATGTCTCTGTAGGCCACAATCACACACAAGGGTCACACAGTCCCTCGGCTCACTCATCCGGCCATGTTCTCTGACCTCATCAAGGGCTAACCCATAAACCCTCATCGATTTGTTCTTCATGTCCAGGTAACATGGGTTTTCCCAATCGACTAGCCTAGATCATTAAGCACATATCGGTATCAACAAACCATCGTTTGCTTAGTATGGTCCACGAGGGACCACACTCCCACTGAGTTCATGTTCCAGTCTATCATTTCATTTTACAAGCACTCATAAGGCCTTTAAAGGCCACATGAACCCAACAAGTTGGTCCCAAGCAGGTCATATCGGTCTCAAGCCATAAAGCAGGAGGATTGTGTCAATTAGGATAACTGTTGTAAAAGTTTATCATATCTTTTCATGAATCCCAAATCTATTGGTCTAATTCGAGTAACCGACCCTAAATAATTAGGATGACGTTCAAATCATGATAATGATGATCCATTAGAAAAATACTGGTGATAAGGCTACCAATGTTCTGGGCCGGGCCACTGCTGTTCGGACCGGTCCTCGGGCTTTCAGGCTGGGCCCTGAATCCTAGGCTATTTTTAGGTCTAATCCGGGCGTAGTACACTATTTGGGCCGGGATAAGGGAAAGACAATCGTTTATCGTGCTGGGATTGTGCTTTTAACGGGCCAGCCCGAAAAGCCCGAAAGCCCTCCCTCACTTCTCTCTCTCTCTCTCTCTCTCTCTCTCTCTCTCTCTCTCTCATCCTTTAGATAAGGACTCGAGAATGGGGATCATAGAGATCGTTTTAGCCATAGTTCTAAAACTCGGTCGTGGCATCTCGGAGGCAATATGCGTACCCCATGTTTTTAAAGTTTAACTATAATATTAGCGAAAATTTATATCAAATATGTTAGGATGGCTTGTTGGTTAGCTCCAATGGCTAAATTTTACCTCAGTCTCAGGTTTGAATCCTTTTTTTTAAAAAAAAAATCAATTCAACATCTTAAACAAAAAAAAAATTATTTCAACGTCTTAAACAAAAACAAAAAACAAAAAAAAACCAGTGCTCAAACAAAAAAAACTAGGTTCGAATCCCTGTCGGGCACTCTATTTTTATCATTTCAACAGCTTAAACCCAAAAAAAAAAAGTCCTATTGGGCACACGTTTTTCATCATTTCAGCATCTTAAACAAAAAAATAAATAGAAAAATAGCCGGTGCTCAAACCAAAAAAAAGCGGGTTCAAATCCCCGTCAGGCACACTTTTTTTTTTTAAAAAAAAAAATCACTTCAGCGTTCAACTTTGCTTAAAAAAAAAAATAATAACTGGGTTCAAATCCCTATCGAGCACAGTTTTTTTTTAAAAAAAAACATCATTTCGGCGTTCGACTATTCTCAGAAAAAAAAAAAAAAAAAAAAAAAAAAAGACTACCCACGAGAAATGATCCCGAAACATCTTATAAAGAGGTCTTTTTTTTGCATAGATAAGTAGGGAATACAAACCCCTACCTGTTTTCTGAAATAATTAGTGATTTTAGAATGCGTTAGTGAAAATGGAAACCAAGACCGATAGCTAAGGCTCAAGTGGTGCTATCACCTACCCAAGATGCCACTCTCACTTTTCTATTACAAGAAGTACTTATAATATATATAACAATTATTTTTCTTCATTTTCTTTTAAAAAAAAATGAGCTGGATTCGGAGGAGTTATTCGGACTCACCCAAGTAAATCGCCTCGATCAGGTCCCAGAGTAACTTTGCCGAGTAGATTATTTTAACACTGGTTTCAACAGTTGGGCATGCCTTTGTAAACTCCATTGATCTTCTCTCTCTGTACATGAATTATAAGCCAGGCCACCAATGCCCAAATGATTGGGATCTTGCTCAAAAACTCATGCTCTGAGGTTGTGAACCCCAATTAAGAAGGAGATGCTTTTCCATATCAATCCCTAAATTGGGTCTTCTCCCTTTTTTTGAAAAGATGTGGGTTCATAGCTTTGGGTAAAGGGTGTTTAAAATTGAGGCTCAATTGGTTCTTTGATTGTGCCTTTTGAAATATTTTTTTTTTTTTCTCAATATTTTTTATTCCTCAAAGTTCTTTAAGGGATTTTAAATTTTTTATAAAGTATTATAGCATATATATGTGTGTGTGGTTCTTATAGAGCCAAGGATCTAAACAATCAAAATAAAGTGCACCTTCAAAAAGTGTCGAGAAATGTGGTTTCAATACTGTAAATTTTGTGATAATCTTAAAATATATTTTTATCTCTAATTACAAAATTACAAGCTTGTAAAGCAATGTAGATTGAGAAGATCTATAAAAATTTGAAAATCATGAAAATTGATAGTCCAAAAATATATTACAAGATGCATTATTTCCAAAACTTAAAATCCAAATCCATGTTTTTCTTATGGCCATGTATCTTGATGTCAAGATGATCAATTTAAGGATATTTGGGCATCAAAACAACCTCTTTTAATGGAAGTTTTGATATGCGCTCTAATTTGATTGTTTAGAGCTTCGGCTCTATATAAACCTTTTCGTATATATGTAAGGCTTCTACTTGGGCCAGACCAAGTCTACCCCAATAGATTCTTTTGGGCTGGGCTGCAGCTTTACCAGAAATATATTTAGGCCAAGCCTGGCCGGGCTCTCCGACTATATTTTCAGACCGGGCCAAAATACTTTTCGGGGTGGTACTAGTGGCGAGGGGGATATAACATGGCCGTCATATATAGCCAAAAATTCATATTATGATCAATATGAACATAGAGAACTGATGGTCAAAAGTATTCACATCGTTCATTCACTATATGGTGGGTACCATACTACTGATCATCTCTCCAACTGTCATTAATTGGACAGCTGACTCAGGGCTATAAACACAGGGAGAGAGAGAGCGAGCGGGAGGTAGAAGTTTATTGGGAAAATTACAAAAAAACTCCTAAAACTACACTTTTTATGTAACTCAACCCCAATATGAACATAGAGATTTTTATGTAACTCAACCCCAATATGAACATAGAGAACTGATGGTCAAAAGTATTCACATCGTTCATTCACTATTTGGTGGGTACCATACTACTGATCATCTCACCAACCGTCATTAATTGGACAGCTGACTCACGGCTATAAACACATGGAGAGAGAGAGTGGGAGAGAGAAGTTTACAGGGAAAATTATAAAAAACTTCTAAAACTACACTTCTTATGTAACTCAACCCCAACCTAGTTTTTTCCTTTCATTTTTTTCTCCAAAACAAACTTTCTATGCAAATAACTCTCAAGAGAAAAAATTACTTTTTTTTTAGATGGAAATGTCCTTCTCGTACACAAAAATCAATTTGGCCAGATTTGACGTTGACTTTCGGATCGCAGTAGCACATTGTCGGAGCGCACGATCTCGTTGTCGGACCCAATATTCCAAAACTGAAATACCCAACTGCCCTAAGCAACTGTCGTAGCTCAGTGACTACAGAATTTCTACTGCCCGACCGCCCTTTGCAATTGCCGAAGCCCTGTGACACCAAAACTTTTACTGCTGAACTGCACGTACACAATGTCGGAGCCCTGTGACTCTAGACGTATTTACTATCAGACCGAACTTGCACAATGCTGGGGCCTTATTCCAGTGCTGGACTGCACTTACACAATGCCGGAGCATTGTGATTCCAGAGTGTCCATTGCCGGACCGCACTTACACAATGCGGGAGCACTATGATTCCAGAGTGTCCACTGTCAGACCACACTTACACAGTGCCGGAGCCCTATGACTCCAGAGTGTTCCACTGTAGGACTGCACTTACAAAGTGTCAGAGCATGTGATCCACTGTCGGACCGCACTTATACAATGCCGAAGCCTTTGATCCACTACCTAACCGTACTTACACAGTGTCGGAGCCCTGATACTCCAGAGTTCCACTGCTGGACCGCACTTACACAGTGCTGGAGTGTGATCCTAGAGTGTTCCACTGTCGAACCGCACTTACACAGTGCCGACTCCAAAATGTTCCACTGTCGGACCACACTTAACACAATGCTGGAGCACTTGATCCACTGTCAGCCGGCACTTACACAGTGTCGGAGCCGTGTGACTCCAGAGTGTACACTGCCAGACCGCACTTACACAATGTTGGAGCGCTGTGATTCCAGAGTGTCCATTGCCAGACCACACTTACAAAGTGTCGAAGCCCTATGACTCTAGAGTGTTCTACTGCCAGACCCCACTTACATAGTGCCGGAGCCCTGTGACTCCAAAGTGTTCCACTGCCAGACCGCACTTACACAGTCCCAAGCATTGTGATTCCAGAAACTCTTTCTTCTGGACCGCTGTGATTGCCAAACCCTTTTCTCTCTCTCTCTCTATCTCTCAACCTTTTTTTTTTTCTTTTGCTTTTGGGTGGTGTTACATGTTAGCTAATAATAAGGAGAACTGAAGTTACGCACTGCTTTTAGGTGGTGGTGACACTGTTTTTAAGTGGCAGATGGATTTGATGGCTAAATCCATTTTGTATTCACAAATAATTTGCAATAGAGTTGTAGTTTAGGGAGAGAAACCAAATACCATCATCATTAAGAAAGACAACGAACAAACATATCCAACTATCTTTGAACTATTTCCATTTTAAAAATATATAACAAACTAAAAAATACTTATCAAGCTTAACATCAAAATGCATACTAACCATATCTTTTATTTAACATCTGTTTCGAACATTCATATGAAATCTAAAAATACATATCAAACTCAACATCAAAATATATATCAACCATATCATTTACTTAACATATGTTTCAAACATAATGATCAAATCCAAAACTATGAAAAGTTGCATCAAAATCAATATCAACTATATTCTATACTTAATATTTGTTTCAAACATACATATCAAACTAAAAATAAAAGGCCAGTTTCTCCACCTCAAACCTTTTTTTGATCAATTCCCATCTCTTCGCAACCGTAAATTCCACCTCGATTCCTCTTGTAACGCTGGTGCTTGAAAGTGATCAGTTTTTTTTTTTTGTTCTTCTTTCAATTTCATCCTCGCTCTCAGCATCATTGTGGCCTTCAACATCCTCTTCTTCATCATCATCCTCTTCTCCATCATCATCGTCTCCTTCGCTTTCACTATTATCGTCCCCATCACTTTCACTTTCCACTTCTCCACCCTTAGCATGCGCTATCTCCTCAGCACCTGACTCTACAAAAGTATTATTCAATAGCAGATCATGAGCCACCTGTACATAACGTCTGGATTGCCCGACTAATACTTTACCATTAAGTGAAGCTTGTAGCATCTCTATACAGGTATGTCGTTTTTTTTTTCATAATTTTAAGATATATTAAGACAATAAAATAACAAATACATATAATAAATAGTGTACCAATCTCCTATTGTCATCATGTCCTGTGGAGGATTTCACATAGGATTGCGACTACGACGGGGACGCATGAGGGCTTTTCTAAATCTTTGCATAAACATGTTGTGCCAAGCCATGTACTCTTATAAGGTGCTCCACAAAATTTATCCAGGGCTTCCTTGACAACATTACGTTCTCATTGCTTCCAATCTTTTATATGCCTGCTCAACTCTTCAGTCCAATTTGTAGGGTGTATATCAAGCTTCTCTCTCCTATCCCACTTGGTTGGCATAACAAGAATCCCTTATACCTTCCCAAATTTCCACAGCACGCTATCGGGTATATAGTACTCTGCAATGTTGAAACTTATGAGGTATGAGCAGCATATGAAGTACTCTGCAATTTCATGTGACTTCTCATATGGTTGCCAAGTCACCTACAAAAAAAACATGACACATTAAATAAGCATACAAGGCAACAAGCCAAGCCATTCCTAGGTTGATTATCTACTAGATTATAAGCACACAAGGCAACCACTAACCCTATCAAATGGATGTTATCAAATGAGATGTCTTTATGGCGTGGTTGTTTCTTCCACATGCAAGCTCTAGGCATTCTTTGGTTGATGACCAATGTACGCTTGGTGGCTAGAGCTCAAAAATGCTCATCGATCCAGCACTGTAAAAAAGACAAAAAGTAAGAAGGCAAAAAAATTATAATATTGCAAATATAAACTATAAAGATAGTGAGAAATACCTGTAGTAAGGTCGTTGACCAACTAAAATGATTCCTTTCCCCGCCTGCGACCATAGACAAGGAATGGTATAAAAAAGTAAGCACCACAGCACCCCATGCATATTTTCCTGCCTCATCGAAATCTTGAAACTATTACAGGTACATTGTAAGTGTCGATCCTTTAGATGAGTCGGCAAATATAGTTGTACCGACTAAATAAAGGAGATATACTGGTATGTATTGCGTGAGTTGTAATTTGGTGGGCTTTTTTGTTAGTTGGTCGAATGTCCTCCTCAACCATGTATGATTAAGATGCATCGGGGTGACGTCTTTATGGAAATCTCTCAGATAGTTCTTGACGAAAGCAACATAGTTTTTAGGCCTAATGTCGGTTCCAAGCTCGCCTGTCACGGGTATCCTTAATATTTGTCACATATCGTTTAGGGTTGGTGCCATTTTATCGATGGTTAGACATGCAGTATTTGTTTCGTTGTACCATTTCCCTATAAATTCCCTCAATAGATTGCGATCGATATGTGAGACCCCAATATCCATCAATGGGCTCAATCCGATCTTTTGAATTAAAGCTACATGTCGTTGATCGAGCTTATATTTTGCTTGGGCTGGAGTTGATTCTTCAATACGAAGTATTTTTCCCTCTTAAAATGAAAATTAATAAGCAATGATAATAGCTAATAACATGAGAAATACCTAATTAATATAAATCATTAACTAAAACAAATAGACCATCGTACCTCTTGCCTTTGACCGATGAAGTGGATGGCTCCCTTGTGCCTCTTGGTTGTTCCGGGTCCTGCATTGCTAATTCTATTTTCATAATTGGCATAAAAAAAAACCCACAAGTGGCATATCCAATAAAAAAAGAGAGAGAAAAGTGATATATCCAATTAAAAAGAGACAGAAAAGAATCAAACATAAATATATATGCGCCAATAGTATGAAATGAACGCAAGTAGAACAAACACCATTAATTTATATAATAACAGAAGCTCCCAATAGTGGGTGCTCTAATAGAAAATAAACAAATATAAATATATGTACGCTAATATCACGAAATGAGCACAAGTGGAACAAATACTATAAACAAACACCATAAACAAACACCATTAATATATATACTAACAAAAATTTCCACAAGTGGGTGCTACAAGTTAAAAAGACATAATAAAAAAGATAAGTACAAGTATATGCCTTCAAGTGGGTGTTTTACATGTTGCCCTATTGTGACCAGTTCCTTTGCACCGACTACAGTGAATAGGTTGCATTAGTACTTCTTGCGACTCGATGCGCTTATTTTTAGGTCGGCCAGGGGGCCGTCTTGAGTGAGGTGGAAGTATTCTTATTCTATATGGAGGAAGTTGTCCACGCATATGCTTATATAGATCAATCAAGATAACTGGTACGATATGTTTGGAATGTGAAATAGTCTTCACAATAGTCAATGGGATCCCTATTCATCCATTGAAGACTTTTACAAGCATGCTTGCAGGACAAACCCGTTATTTGCCAACCCCAGCATTCACATTCTTGTGCAATTATATTTGTCTTATGATTCATGTGATCACCTCTTACTTCAAACACTGCTCCACTTGATACAATGATCTCAATGGAAAAGTATTGCTTTATGAACTTTTCAGTTCGTTTTGAGCGTGCGTGGTAAGTGTTGTAGTCCAGGTTTCAGCTTCTAAGATTCGAGTGGCCATCAGTTTCTTCTAATCAAGTCAACGCGCTGGAGAATTGGCATGCCTTGTGGTTCTAGAATGCACTTGTTATATGACTTGGTCACATTGGTTGTTACTTAGTTATATCATTTACCCTTGAAGATTGATGTGGCCTAATGGTCTGGTGATGCTTCCATGAACCACTTGAATTCGTCCTCAGAAATTGATCTAATTTTACTCTTCTCAAAATATTCTTGCAGCATGTATGCTCTACATGCTCCGATAAAAATTTTTACAAAGGCTTTCTTAATATCATTATGTATGTCTTTTACTTCCTTCTTGAAATTCTCTGCTAAATAACGCTCACATAAGGCATGATGGGCATTCTCAAAAACTTAACAGACAATATCAACTAGATCAGGGTGTCTATCTGACAAAAAATGATTTTACGATATGTCTCAATAGCAATCTTTAGAGATTCTATAAACATGTAGATATCACCATTTTAAAACTGGCAAATTCTATGATATTCCTGAACCCTTAGGACCACACTATCCTAGTGAACCCCATACCATAGACCACCATAGTCCATACTACCTACCATATAATCCAGAATCCTAACAAATGCCTTATTTTAGTAAACCAAATCATTAAAAATAACCAAAAACCTCGTTTTGATCCAAATTTTGGCAGCAACATGAACGATTCCGTAGATACCCATAGAACTAGAAATTTTCCATTTTGGACAGTTTTGGTCTGGGCGACACTACCAGGTCGCCTAGCCCAAACTTACCCAAATCGGTTGATTTTTGGTAGGCAACATCTTGACGATCTCAAAATCACTCTAGACTGAAATCGGTCGATTTTGAGCAAATTTGGTCTAAGCGAACGTCGCCCAGACCCAACTGCCCCAAATTAGCAGTTTCCACATGTCAACACCTCCCAGGTCTTTTTTGGCTAGGTTCAATGGACCTAGACCATTTTGGTCTGGGCGACGCTCCCAGTGTCGCTCAAGCCTTGGACCAGTCATTTCGAAACTTTTAAACCCTAAGGAGAGACCCTTTAGACTCTAGAGAGGCTCTTTGGACTCTGGAGACTCTATAGATCCTTTAGACTCAATTAGCTTTTGTGCTCAAAGAAAGCCTAGATATTATGAGACCTGACAACCTAGACTTAGGAAAACCCTAGCTTTAGGCCATTTGCAACCCTTAGATCAAAGAAATCCATCCAACCAAGCCAAGGCTTGGTCAAAACCTAAAGAGAGACAAAAGAGGACGCATGGTGTAAACAGTCGGTCTTGATACGAGCGAGGCCTAGAAACCTCGAGAGTCCGGGCCAACTGGCCCAGTCCTGTACGTTTTTACTCTTTCTTGGTTTTCTTCTTATTTTGTTTATTTTAAATTAGTTTCATTTCTTTTTACATAGTATTTCGGATCGATGCTGGCTCTGCCACTGATTTGAGAGCAGATCTGCTTATTTCGGACTATATCTGACCTCATATCAGAATTTGATTGTCTCACTCTCTATCACTTTTTTATTAAAATCAGTTTGTGGTGTTCAAATCTGAGGGATCTTCCTCTGAAGATCTCTCCAATTTGCATCGTAAACAATTGGATGCCCAACGTGGGATAGTTTGAGCTTGATCCAAACCTTGAAATACATGTTTTTGTTTATTTTTTTCACTGTTTTTTGGTACAAAATAATCCCAGGTTCCGCTGTAACCAAGGCCCATGGTTTTTGTGGCAGCGAAACCCTGTCTGTCTTGGGCTCTTTGTGTCATCCAGGCAACACTCCCTATGTCGTCCAAGCGACACTCCCTGTGTCGCCCAGGTTCAAGTGATGCTCCCTGCGTCGCCCAAGCGACACTACCTGTGTTGCTCAGATTCTAAGGTCCCAGAAAGATCCCATGACCCCACAGCCCTGTGCGAGGATCTTTTCTCATATTGCTTACCAATTTTGAGGCTAAAATAAAATTTTAAAAAATATATTTTGCTTGAGGGAGGTCTTTCTTATCTGTGTTTTCTGATTTTCATTTTATTTTAATTAATTTTGTTAGAAACCATGATTTCCCTGCTTTATCATACTTAGTTTAACCCTGCTTCATTTTAAAAAAAAAAAAAATTGAGGGTTGACTGCAATCGGATCGAGTCACCCTTGACTCGAGTTGCACTCGACTAGGCACGGACTATGCCTGGTTTCACTATTTTGACTGAACACCTTCTCAGGGGTTGCTTACCCCACACTTGAAATGTGGTTTTGAGTCGGTCAAGACTCCGACTCAAAGCGCACCACACTCGGTACGATTTGTGCCAAGTGTTCACATTTCTTTCTTGCATTGTGTGTTTGCCTGTTTGCTATTTTCTTTTTGCTTGCATGCTTATTTACACACTCCTGCACACAATGGACCGGGAAAGTCCGGAAAACCAATAAAAAATTTTGAAAACCCCCAAAACTCGACATTTACTATCGTGAGGGGAACATACCATTGACAGCCGAGGCAGTTGGGATTTGCGTGACTTTAACTGTGAGCACCCCTCCGTAATCCTTAGACTCAATGCAACTCCACACATAGTAGGACCCGGTTAATTCCTTTAACAGGTGGCCAGGACCTACGTGGGGACCTACTCAGCCTAGTCGCATTTCAATACTTAGGAACCCACTCAGACCGAGCCTACCCATAGTCTAAGGAAATAGTTTTCAAGTGGTTTGTTTGCTTATTACAATTGATTAGTCTTAGATCTCAATCCGGATCCACTTCTGGTACGAGCTGAAACCTTCTTGATCCAAGTCCTGGCTTGTACCTGGTCTAGCCCAGGTCCAAACCAGGGTCACACCTAGGTCCAAACCTAGGCCCCCATTTTGGTCTGAGCCAAGGCTCACGCCAAATCTCACCTACGAGCTGAAACCTTCTTGGTCCAAGTCCTGGCTTGTACCTGGTCTAGCCCAGGTCCAAACCAGGGTCACACCCAGGTCCAAACCTAGGCCCCCATTTTGGTCTGAGCCAAGGATCACGCCAAATCTCACCTAGACCTTAGCCCGGGTCCACACTCAGTCTAATTTTAAACCTTCTGGGTCCAACTCTAGGCTTGTTCCCAGACTAGCCAAGGTGCGAACCAAGTTCACACTTAAGTCCGAACCTAGGCCACCTTTTAGTCCGAGCCAAGGCTCGTGCCTAAACCAACCTTGATCCAATCCAAGTCAACACCCAATTTGATAATCAAAAACCTTTAGGTCCAAGCCCAAGCTTGTACCCAGCTCAGTCTAGGTCCGAACCAGTTTCACACCCAGGTCCGAGCCAGCTTCACACCCAGGTCCGAACCTAGACCCCCTCTAGGTCCGAACCAAGACTCGTACCCATCTAGCTTAGATCTCAGTCTAGGTCTTAGCCTAGGTCTTAGTATAGAGTTGCCTCTAGAGTTAGATTAGGCTTATCCTAATTCAGGGTCTAAACCAAAACCCATTGAGTCTAGCAAGATTTATCCGGTTTAGTCCTAGCCTAGGTCTTAGTTTAGGGTTTCGCCCCTAGAACTGGACTAGGTTCTATCATAAGCCGTCAAGTCTAGATCCCACCCTAAGTCTAGATTCTAGAACCGGATCAAAAAGAGTCACCATGTCGGTTACCCAAGGTGACTATGATGATTATTCTACAGCCGACTCCAAACCTAATCTTCCAAAACCTAGAGACCAGTATGCCGCAATCTCATGGGATTATGGCCAGAACCCGGGTTCGTCCAATTTTCAACGCCCAAGTCTTCAATTAGAGGCAGAGTCTCAAGTATCAGCTCCTAATCCTGAGATCTGTGTGGCCCAAAAAGCTAGCTTAGTTGGAAAGACTTTCAATAGTCAAGGGGTTCGACCTGAGGTCGTCTTGCAAGGGCTCTTAGGTAACCAAAGTAAGAGTCGAGTGAGGGAAGAAGTTCACGCAGTGTCAAATGCCCATTCCAATAACTCGAACCAAGATAATCCCGAGGCATGACGGTCTTAAAACTAAGACCCACCTAGGTCTAGGGGATCTGACCCTTTCTCGAGCCACCATAGCACAGCTCATGATAACCTAAATTTCATGCAAAATAGAGGTATTGATTTGAATCGACCCCTAGGTGATGTAGGTGTCCAAGCTGCCCTCCAAAGTTTGGTTGCCCGGGGCTACACTGTTCATGCCCCAACACATATTTCGGTC